GCGGGAGATGGTAGGGAATAAATATTAAAATAGTTTTTACTTTTTGGGTTTTCTGAAGGGTTTCAGGAGGGCTGTACCATTTCTTAGAAAGTGCCTAGTGGCTTTCCCTTTCCTTTTCCCTTTCGGATGGCTGTGACTGCATTTAGTTATGGCCACCTGGGTAATAGCCCTATGCAGGCCTCATGAAAATGGATTGTGCTGAGTATCTGCAGCATGAAGGATTCATGCCCTGCAGTTAGATTAGGACCTGCCTATCACGCGCCGTCCCAGGGTGGCACACGCGTAACCCGGAAAATGTATTGCTGTAGCTATTCTGCTCCCTTTCCACAGAAGTGTTTGATGGTCATTATATTGCGGTAATTTTGGCTTTTCTTCCGCATAAATCAGATTTGATCATCCCCGCGGACGCCGTGTGGGAGAAGACACGTATGCGTTCCGAGGCACGACTCGAAGCGGTCGCATTTGCAGGGATGCCATATGATCCGCGCGCACGTAGACACGTAGAGCCGCAGTGAAAACGCGCAAATTGCCCCGCGCCGGGCAGAGGGGTCATGAATCAGAGGCGAGCGGCACCTGTAATTACGGCTGCGTGATTCCAGTGTTGTCGCCTGATCACACGGTAACGGGCTGTGAGACGCGCACCGGGATTGGTCGACTGATATGCCCTAACTGGAAAATCTGAGCGGCGAATTAATGGTCTGTGCTGCGTCATTACTCTACTGCATGCTGTGATTGTTACGCTGTGGCTTCATTTCAGCTACCTTTCCTTTCGTACCACTTTGATTACAGTCATTACCCCCGTTAATCATTAATACCACCACAAACACTATATAAAAAATGAATATATCATCATCTGAATATTACAATGCATCTTCGGCATCATTTGCGGCAATAAAAATGAGATTTAAAACATTAAAAACCGAGTATGTAGATCAATATTTCCAGTAACCACCGATTTACAACTGTGACTTCACATAGGCACAAAAACATTAAAATTACGTCTCAGTTAGCTGTCTCTTACTATAAAATTATAGGTTGTACCTGTTTTAAAGATATTTGATTCAGGGATATACATATTTATATACGTGAAAAGTGTGTGGCATGCATTTTCCAGCAGTGTGGGGTTATTTTTCTGAATATAAACAGAAAATTTCCTTTATTTGGAACCCGAGGATGGGCCCCACAGTAAGGCCCCAAACTACAGGCCTACAGAGCTAATGGTGCCGGCTCTCAGCATCCCGGCACTCACCACGGTTACCAGCACGCTAACGGCACCCGACGGGCCGGAGCGTGGGAAGCGGCAGGCAGGCCTCGCAGTGCGAATTAACAACCCCACACCTCACAGGATACAAACATTTGCCTGGGATCGCTGTGAAACCTCACCAAAGCGCGCCAGGGCAAAAACAGCAGTGAAGTGCGGCCCCCGGGAGGACCTGGACATCCAGCGCCTGCAGAAAGCCTGCAGCCAGCCTGCAGCGCTGTGGCGGGGCAGACCCCCCCACACACATGGGGGCCAGCAGATCGTCCCTGAGCACCTTTGTCATTGTTTCATCTCCCCACTAACCGCCAGCCAGTTCCACAGAATACGGTATGCTGGACTCCACCTTTGGTGCTTCAGTATACAGTAGTGAAGGGTAGCGGGGGGGGGGGGTTACCACAAGTGCTGGCCTGAATTTTTGACCAGTTTGTTCAGAAATATGCAGATACAAACTTGTAGTTTGAATTAAAAAGATTTTGTGTCGACCTCCAGGGGTCCAACAGAAAATCCACCCAGGATCTTGTGCTCTTACTCACTTAATCTGCGATCTCTGTGCTATCTTAATAGGCCTGCCTCCATCTCAGCTGCTCTGTCTGCCGGTTATTGGCCTACACTAATTCATTTTGGGAAAGTGTGATCATATCTTACTCCAGATTTTAGATGTGCAGAAAATGATATCTTGCCCCCCATGTGTTATTTATTCATAGCGCAATCAGACTCGTTGCAGATCGCCTTCGCTCAGGCGGGGCCGTGTTTCACTGAAAAGGCCCCCGACTGTGTTTCTGCCATGCGTCAGTGAGTGTTCAGTCATGTCCACGTATCACACCGGCAGAAAACTGGCAGGAGGTGTTAAATTATTATATTTGTGGGGAAATCTGGAAAGAGTGCTCAAAGAAAAAAGGAGGTCACCATCTATGAAAAATAAAATTAAAATGAGACAGAACTGATTCGTGATAATTGCATTTTAGCTAATGGCTAGTGAAAGATCTCTGGAGTGTTCCGGTTATTAAAGCGCGACTCTGCCATCTTCTGCAGATGTCTGACTCTCCCTTTTTTCCCCGTTTTCCACAGGTAATTTAGAAAGAAGAGCCCTCGTGTTTCTGTGCCAAGCTTTGCTGAGCTTTAGCCACATTAATTGAGCGAAATGTGTATGTGTGTGTCTGTGTGCGTGTGTGCTTTTTTCCAACTAGGATAACACTACAAGGTTGTTAGATTGGCTAACTGCCAAGTGATATAAAAAAAACACTATTGTATAAGTGCATTCTAGAATTCTGTGAAAATGTCTCTGCACTATCCAGTCCGGTGGGTTTTCTTTTACACTCTGCTTGCTGTAGTTCCAAAAATCCTGGCACACGCTCTGAATTTAAGAGTCGTGCACTAACACAAGGTTCACAGGGCATTGATTTCAGGAGAACATTGTTCGTAGGCAAATAGGCTGAAAGTGATTAAATCCTTAATGGATGCCCTCCTGGATAAGATGGAGGATAATGAGCCTGGAAATCAGTTAAATACTTCTAAGAGAGCAGACTATATTGTCACTTTACTAGGCGCTTTGTTATCTAGCTCTGGACGCAAGCACTGGCTTTTTTTAATGCGTCATTAGCGTAATTATCTCTGATATGAATCAACCCTATTTTCCGATTTTCAGAAGGGTAGCAGTCACTTTTCTTCGCTTCAAGCAACAGCCGTAATTTACACATCTCTTATAATATATATGTGCGCATATAATGAGTACACATAGCATATATTACTTTTATTTGTATTAATATTGGTTTGTATAATAGATAAAATGTAGGGAAAGCGTTGATGTATCCAGTTGCCTTGCATAGTACGTGATTCGCCATATTGCAGTCCAATGGATGGTTTTATGGTACGTGTAGTTGGCATGAAGTCCCTCACATCTGTCGCCCCGCAAGCTGAGGATAACGCCCCCCCCCCACCACCTCCAGTACCGCACCTGCAGTAAAAGCTGGCCATCATTACTGCAAACAGCAGGCGACACCTCCCTCCACATGTTCCCCCCCCATACCTGCTAGAGAGTAAACACTTCTTGGCATGAGCAGCCTCGCCGGAGGACGCCCATCCAGAATGCCGTTATCGGCATCGAACATCAATTATTCACCCAAATGTTGCCTGTTTGCATAATTAATGACTTATTACCTGAGCAAGGTGAAGGCCGATGGCGTCACCGAGAATTTCATCAGTATTGATCTCGGGCGAGGTGAAATTCCGAAGTTTTCTGGCGTTACGTTAGCCGTGCAAAGGATGTACTGTTATTTTCTCCTCTCCAACGTCGTGGCAGAAGGGAAGCAGAGTAATTACCACACTTGTTCTGCTGGACTTCCAGAAGGTGTTAAAACAGCGGTGTGTCATCTTCTGTATGTGGGGCAAGGCTCTGGGTCAGCACAGCGGCCGAGGTTTATTGGCTGTCATGGGGGTCGACAGAAAGGTCAGGCGAGGGAACTTTATGTGCCTGGAAAAAGACGTTAATCCAGCAGTTGAAAGGTCACTTGTGTTCCTTTATCTGTGAAAGCGTTTACCGTTTCCATAACGGTTCTCAAAGGTATTCATCAGGCTTCTGTAATTGCCTGGACATATTCCAAACTCATTCCCTTCTTTTTTTTGGCACTTTCTCTTCAAAGGCGTCAACTTAATGGGTCCATGTCTAACCGGCTTCTTAACTGATCTTTCTGTAAAACGGATTGCAAATAACAACAAAGATTGCAGCCACTTGAGGACATTCATTTGAAATATGCCATTTTAATATATATATATATATATATATATATATATATATATATATATATATATATATATATATATATATAATGGGCATATAACAAAAGGGAAGTCCAACACCAAAAATAGAGTGAGGTGGACAGTTGGATTCTCTTTCATAGAGGGATTACAAGCAGTCCCTACATTATGAACGAGATGCATCTCGTAAGTCTGTTTTTAAGACAAATTTGCAGGTAAATTGGAAAAAAAAATAATACAGGTACATAATAATACTTGTGCAGTAATAATAATCATAACTACATACAGTACAGTACTGTACCTCAAGCCAACATACCACTGATGCTGTGTAATGCTGAATGCGTTTGTTATTACGAACTATTTAACGTGAATTTTTAATGTATTAGGTCCATTCGTAAGTACGAGCTGTTTCGTATGAGTCGGACGTTCTTAACCCGGGGACTGCCTGTAACTTAAAAATGTGATGGTAGGATAATGCTAAATATTAGTTATGGGGGTAATGCTTACATTATGGATGTGACTTTTAATCTGAAGAAACCAGGGATACCCCTACGATACAATTTGCCGATTGGGGATCCCCAACAGTCAAATTTAATGGGGGGAGGGGGTGTTGACCTCCCTGTCCAGTTTACATTTTATTTCTCCTGTTGTATGAAACAATATATGCAAGAATTTGGGATAAATAGTGTCACCATGCAGTATTTCGTTTTTCAGTTCTAGATGGGTGGCATTCCCTCCTTGCAGTACTGTTTCCACGCAGCCTTTCAGCACCGCTAAATGTTTTCCTCTCCTCCCAGGGCTTTTCCTGGATGTCTGAGATACCACCTAACAGCTGGAAACATCCTGATAAAATTCCCGATACACATCCACCATGTGTCCCCCCCCATAAACACTGTGTTCCACATTGACTCTGTGCGCTCAGTGCCTCTTCTGTGGTACTTCTTTCAGTGAAACGTCACTCTTCTCTGTCCTCTCTTCCCCCCAGATTACTCGGTGTCCCCAGTATCGTGGATCCAGTGAATTAATGTGTGCAGCTGAGCTTCGTCAGCCATGGAACAAATGGACTGTAAACCCTACCAGCCGCTTTCCAAGGTACGACATGAGATGGAGCTCGCCTACACCAGCTCCTCGGATGAGAGCGAGGACGGGCAGAACCTGCGCAAGTCCTACACCTCTCGGGAAACCCTGCCCGATTACGGACAGGACCTGAGGCTCAGCTACAATAGCCATGCAAAGAGGCAGACGGAACCGACCCAAGGTACGAGACAGGCCGCCTCACTTGCTGCTCTCGGGCACCGCCAAACCATCCCTGTGGAACGTGTTTATGAGATCTAGAGGAACTTGCTGTCGGGACTGATTACAGACTCTCCAGCAGGATCATTTACTTAGCAAAGTACAACAGTTCATTCTCAAAGCAACCAAGTCTCACAAACAATGAGACAGAAATGTAATAATGACAACAAATGTAGCTAGCTAGGAATTTATTTATTTGCTGAAAGCAGAGATTCTCGTAGGGCATGATGGATTATTAGAACACCGGTGGAGGCCAGTGTTAAAGTGTTTGGGATTCTAAGTAATCAAAAACTCATTTTTTGTTAGATGCTACACAGTATATTTTTGATTTATATATCTCAGTTTTTATTATAAGCTTTGGGCTTTGCAAAGATCAGAAATTGTGAAGATTGTTATCAGTACAGTTTCCCCGCTTCCATCCCATCATTCAGCCTGTGATCTGTGAGTCTGATCCCACTGATATTCATCCAGAACCTCATGCCCTGCCATATTTTGGCATCTTGCGTTTCATAAATATTTTGGAAAGAGACTATTTATCTGACTTTAGCAGTTCTCTCATGTGGTTTTGTTTTCAGAGTACTTACATAGATGAAAAATCACACTGCATTAGTTTGTTATTAAGAGAGTTTGCATATTCAATCCACTACACCAAATAATCTTAAGAAGATCTGTGCAGGAGTTGGAAGGATAATTTCCAGAGAATATGGGGTCACATAGGTATGATTTTCTTTCACTTGTTGTTCACGATGTTTTGTAACATGCACCTAATTTGAAAACCAAAACAGAATGGTCATTACGATGGATTAATGCATGACATTGAAGGCATTATTTGGCATTTAAAAATACACAAAATCAATTTTGGACAAATAAGCCAACAGAAGCACTCACGAAAGAAAAAATCCAACAATGGCATCGGCCATTGGCTGTCTTGGTATACAGTTTAATTTTCTTTATAAGTTCCAGAAAAGGCACATATTATTTGACCTGTGTCATTTACTTACTTCCTGCATGCCTCTATATGAATAAAATTAATATACCGTTAGTGAATAAAATTTTATGAGATAAAAAAAACTAGAATTTCACATTTAATTAAATGGAATGAAATATGTCAGTAATGGCTGAGTCCAGCCTTAAGCTTAGAATGGAATGTCAATTAACAATTTAAGGTAGTCTGCAGGTAATCTGCTTTGGAGTATGTAATAAGATTTGTACGGCATTGTCCAAATTTACCATAACTTTTTAAAGACCTTAATTAAATTGCATGGACTATTCTACAAGGCAAAAACTCTTCCTGTATGACACAGATAGATACATACTGCCACAACATGCATTCCATCACCAATTGTATTGCGCATAATTACTCAACAAATATTTAATGCTTACACAGTAGATTCATTTATACTGTACACAGTACAGCAAGCACACCATGTACGCACCGTGTGTGTTACCTGCAGTTACTCATTTAGCATTGTATTGTTTAATAATAATTTTTGAAAATTGCTTGGACTAGTTCTCATTGGTAATAATAAATGATTCCAAGACCGATAGTTAAAGCTTTTTTTTCCTTTAAACCTCTTTTTGAATCAAACTGGAAGGAATCCAAAGCCTTATGGGATTAGCAAATAAAAAATAACTGTGACTTTCTTTTGTAACCTTTCTGCAATGTATTCAAAGTCATATTGATCAAGTTATGGGACAGAAAAAAGCTAAACAGGCAGATGTATTAAGGTATGAATGACTAACACAATAGCGTACCTGATATCTTTGCAAACTAAGCATTTTTCATAGTCAAGGTACGACATAAAGTAATGTATTCCAGAAAAACATATATAAAAAATTGGATATGCATTAAAATTAATATATTGCAAATTCATATAATGCAGCCAAATAGCAAGTGAATTATTAATTATAAATGCCACTGTATATATGTAGGCTTACTATATATATATATATATATATATATATACACACACACACACACACGCACACACTGAAAAGTGACACTCAAGAGTCTGGACACACCTGCAGAAAATGGTTTTTCAACAAGATAGCGACAACCCTTAAGCATACCTCCAGGTTATGTAGTGATTACAAGGAAAGACATGGAGTGCTGTGACAGAAGACCTGGCCCCCACAATCCCCCCATCCTAAACCGTACAGAACTGAATGACTTGGATCAAAGAGTATGAGGAAGGTAGCTAACTTGTGTCCAGAGCTTGTGGAATCTCCTTCAGCACTGTTGGAGAAGCATTCCAGGTGGCTACATCTGGAAGCTGGCTGAAGGAATGCCAGGAATCAGCAGTGCTGTCATCGAAGGAAAAGGGGGATATTTTGAAGAGTCTAAAATTTGACAAATTGTTGAGATGTTGAACACTTCTCTTGGTTGTTGCAATATTTGATATGTATCACTTCATTGCCTCGAGGCCTTTTACTAAGATGTAAATAACATAGCTAAAATAGAGATAAATGCATTAAAAACACATATGTCCAGACTTTTGACTGGCAATATGTATAATATATATATATTGTAAATGACTATACAGTTACTGAATTCATATATTTTCAAAAGCTAGAATCTTTGTGAAAAAATCCTACTACTCAATATCTGTCCTGTATGGCAGCTGCCATCTCAACGAACCAGCACCAATCTGGTTACTTCCGTGTGAGTTGAAAGAGAGCCCCAAGCAAACTGTACCTTCTCCCGTGCAGCCGCTAAAGCATTAGCACAGGCTCCGGGGCGTGGGCCAATCAGGCATGACTAATCGACTCTCATTCCCAACTGAAACCCAACCACCCCAAGCATGCATATACCACCGCACAGAGCCACCATCAACCCCAGGAGGAGTCCCAAGCCACATTCCTTGCAGTGTACCTCCACCTCTTCTTTTGCTTTTGATCCCACCCCCCAATTCTGACCATCATTCCTACTAACTGACATTGTCTCATGAGATGAAGCCGCACATTACAATCGCCGACGGGATTGACTGACCCCCCCCTCCCCCCCCAAGAACAGTGACCTCTCCCTTCTGGACCATTTATGAAAGATGCCTATTCATGTACTCTGTCGCTTAGTCAAGGCTGTCCCTGATACAGTCGTGGCCTGTGGTTGTGGCTTGTCAGTCAGGTGACCCCAGATTGTTTGCGCTGATGTGTCCTGCCTGTTCCTCCTTCCAGGAAATTTCATAAAGCGACAAGCCGTTGTTTTGTTTTGCCATAATACCTCAGGCTAAAGTCCCGGCACCTAGAGACTTGTATGCATGATGCATCTTGTTTTTGTTCCTTCCCTCGCTCATCCAAAGATCTTCCTTTATCATTTTCACTCATGCTTTGCTGATACCAGCACAATGGCTGTAACCTCCAAAAAGGAAAATGTCACCCTCAGTGATTATGCCCGTCCCGTCCTTGACGGTGTGATTCTTACGATTATAAAGGTTCATTTACCTTAAGTAGCTAGAGAGGAATTATAGCACATACACCCCATGGAATTACAATGCATATACCCTGCACATTGTTACTAAATGTATTGTAATTCTGTCCATTTTTAATATTCTTAACATGCACTGTTAACTAATGTTGAAAGGTGTGTAAAATACCTTAGGTAAATGAATGATTCATCAAAATGCTTTAACCGTTAAATTAAGTCAGTCATTACAAACTGTTCCATCTTTATTATTGTGATGAGATGCTTAATTTTCCCTTTAATTGATTAATCATATGAAATGCAAATAATGACAGCTGACACAAGAATGATAATAGACTAGTCTCAGATCACTGATTTTATCTTATTGCAAGTCGCAAGTGAATTACATAGAGCTTTTGATTAATGATATACATGTTTAATTAAGAAACAGTTCTTGTTTGAGTTGAATGTGAAATGAATAAGCATTTTGGAGGCCAGTCTACTTTATGCAAAGGAACCTTAACCTTCAAAGCTCATTTTTTTTTTTAAATGTACCAACTGTACTTAAGTACTTTGCAAAATACTGAACCTGTTTGACAGGAAGAAAGTGTAAATGCTTAATTTTATGATGGACAGATAGCATTAATATCATGTTTAGAATTAGTAGTTTCTCCTGTGCATTTCCGATTAGCACGTTGGCTTTGTGTGTGTGTGTGTGTGTGTGTGTGTGTAGCACTCAAAAATAGCATAGCAGCAAATTTAAATATTATGACACTTTTTTATATTAATTTTTTTGTATTTAACTGCTTGGGGACATCAGATGCAGCCCACATAAATATTTAGTTCATACATGTGCTTTATTCGTTTCTCATTAGCTGTTGACTTACCCGCTATGCTAATAAATGTCAAAAGTGATCAAGAAAGAGACTCGCAAATAAGGTCGTCTTGACGTCAAGTTTAAAGGCACTAAAGGGTAATCGTTTCCGGTTGGTCTGGATCGTCTCGGCACAAAGGGCGAGAAACGATGCTCGCTGTTCCCCAGTCTCTCCAATTGACTGCTGTACGATATTTCAATACAGCGGCTTAAATGAGCCATTCATGGACCTTCAAATCACGTCGCGTGGCAAGGGGACTGAGATAAATTAAAGGTGATACAGTTTTGAAGCACAGTCAGTTGGAACCTCCGCCAAAATGAGTAATTACCATCCCATCAGGCTATTGTTAATAGACATTCAGCCAGTAAAATTATGTTCAGGCTAGCAGCAACGTGAGGAAAGCAGATTCGTATAATCCGACCTTGTCCAGAATATAACTGAGAGGCCGATTAGCTATGAAGTATCTCAGCATCAAATACAAATGTGGTAAACATAATCGCACAGGTGACATCCAGGAAAAGTGGAACCAAATTGCACCTTTTCAGAGAAAAACAGAAGGTTATTTTTTTGTGCATAAAAGCAGAAGAGGCTGTTTGTTAATGTATCCTAAAAGGTCTGAATGTTAATCTTAAGTGCTCTACTCACACATTCAATCACCAGAAACTGAAGGCACAGGTCACACGTTGTCTGTAAAAAAAATGTTTTTAGCATTAAAAACAGCAGTGCAGTAATTTGTCTTTAGAATGCTGGCCATACTCAGAAATATTAGTTTTCAGTAACATCAGCATATACCGGAAATGCATACATTATTAGAAATAAAACTGCAGAATCTGAAAATTTATATTAATCTGTTCTAATGATAAACACCACAGTCATTGTATTTTTCATGTGCTAGTTTTTAGAGTTTTGACACACCAATTGATCAGCTATGAAAACTATTATATTATGATCACGTTCTACAAAATGCAAATCTCATTACAAAAGTATAAACTAAAACTCTATAAACCAATGGCAATAAAAGACCTGGAATTGCACCAATGTCAAGAAATGATACATGTAATTAGAAACACCACTAGGTTAGCCTTGGATTTTTATTTGTGTTTATGTGTGACTGTTTGAAATGACTGAATGCAGACAGAAAAAAACAGATGAGAGGAAACACAAAAAGAATTAATTCTTTTCTATCTCTCTTCCGAAGGAGCATGTAGGTTGGCAATCGTTTAATTTAATGGTTAAAATTGGAAGAATGGCATGACGATTTTGCTTTTAAAACCTTCTAAAAGGCCATAAAACTCTAAAACTGTGTTCATATCACACATTATGCTAAACCCTTTGTTCTTTTTGCCTTGGAAATTACACAAACTGAATATTAACTATTCACTCAAGGCAGTCACCGCAGTAAGAATTTATGAGACCTGTTCGTACATGTATTGGCGGAGAACTGGTCCTTACTACCAGCACTTCAGTGGAGTAGCTATGATTCAGGGATTGAGGGGGGTCAGAAGAAATATTCGCAGCCTACTGAGAGAGGTCAAGAAGAAGCATCCTCGACTTACTTCATTAGCGAAGGGGCTATTTCCGAAGATTTGGGTCCCGTGACATCACCTTGTGCTACTGTTAATCAGCAAGAAATGTGGTGAAATCTTAAGGGTGCTTTCGAAGATTGCCTCCTCTCGAGACGTGGACACTCAGCTTCTACCATTTTAGCCATACAATGTAAATTGTTACGTACTTTTCTGATTTTACAAGTGTTATATGTCAAGTTTGCTGACCCTTTAAGATACAACACCTTATTGGCCATTTCGCCATTGACATGCATGATTTTTACCTGAATGACGGTAATTTTCAATGTGCGAGAATAAACTGTAGCCTACAGAATGAATATGTTCTACATATAATACATGTATATTTTAGTCATGGCCTAAATATTTAATTTGTTTTGACATATATCTAAAATAGCGGTTCAGTTCCGTTAATATTGATGAATATTTACCTTAATTCCCATGGTAATTTGAAATTGCATTTAAAATCTAAGCCTGGGCATATATGGATAAGTTAGTCGAACATACACAATCCAGAGCCTGGGCAAATGATCTTCTTGTCTGGTATCGTTAAATGGTTAAAGTATACCAATTAAATACATGGGACTCCCATCTTTTATCAAGCACTTTTTCGGAGATAGGCTACGTTTGACTTCTTTTTGAAGCCATCGAATGTGTGGTGCATAAATAGTGAAAGGCAACTCGGCAATTATCATGCTGAAAAGCACAGCTGTGCGCGGGAAAAGCGAAGTATCATCTGGTTTTTTTCCGCTCTTACTTTCGCAAGCGGATTTTGGAAGAGGAAAGGAGTGTCGCTTCCCCCGAAAAACACTAGAGAAGCATCCCGACGCTCGGCAGCTCGATCGGGAGACGCGCAACAAGACAGATGGTGCTCGACACACTTGGTTTCGGCCGGTATGTTCCAGGGCTGCTCACTTTGCGGTGCAATTCAGGCAGTGAAACAAAAAGGATCTAAATGAATAAACAAAAAAATAAATATATAAACAAACAAACAAACAATAAAAGCATAGATGCGGTTTAAAGCGTTAGAAGTTCGTTTGTCCGCGATGCTGAATTATTCAACGGAATTCGTACCACTCGGCATGTTTGGAAATAATGCAGCTATCCGCCGCAAGAGTCAATGGACCAGTGTTAAATATATAATATTTGCTTAAAATCGACAGGCTTTGCGTTTTATATGTCTGATAGCCGGGAGCTTTAGGTCTGCACATGTCAGTGATAGCCTACACACTCCCATGTATAGTTGGAGAGTGCATTCAGGTACATACTGAGCAATATTTTACACCCTCTCATAGAAGCACTGTAAATTTTATTTTTGCTCCTTTCTGTTGGAATTTCACCCAGCTTAATAGGAAATGGCTGCCTTTGCAGTTGAAGCATTAAACTGTATGTATTTCCACTGAGGGGCACTATATGCAAGACACACATTGGTACTCAGTGAATGGGGTATTCTGTTGTATTTGATGGCTCTGTGGATAGTAAGGGTTTGATGGACCATTTAGTTAATGACCTTTTATTTTGCGGGTGGATATTCTGGTATCAAAGACGGAAAAATATTCAGCCATACATAAATATTGCAACAGCTTCTCATCTTAATATGGAATACTATTCAGCTTGCATTTTACTTTATGATGAAGCAGGATACAGTAATCTCAGTTACAATTTCAATTAAAGTATACATTTGTCTGTAGACCAGCACAAGAATGATATCAACACACCACCCCATCATATGTACTGTCATTGCACTTATAAAGAGCTTTTAGACTCACAGAACAGTTTACTTTTGGGGAGAAAAGAAAAAAAAACATGAATTTTGAATTATTTCACAGTATCTGGAGCTGTGAAGATTGGGTGGACTGCCAAGAACCAGCAGTGAAGCAGTGAAATCCATCACCAAAGATCTAAGCCTGTACTCTAACATGTGCATGGAGAGCTTTTTGAAGATAAATACACAGGAATTCTGTTTCAGAATCTGAAATTTCAAATTAAACTAGTTCGTAGAAGCTTACAAGGGAAATGTAAAAACATCATGCTCTTTTTGATTGGTCTGCTTTCTTCATCCGGAACGTGTAGCACCAACCAAACACTGAACCTGTCCTGCAGAGAAGGGCTTGCACTCTGTGCTGGGGTGGGGAAGCACACTTATATAACAAGCAGCTGCGTCTCACGTTGTGAAATTTGGAATGGAATTAAAATGCAGTGCATTGAGGGTACAGTTTGCTATGTTTTTGGGTGAAAATGAAACCCTTTCAAGAGACACTATTATTTGTATGTCAAGCACATTTGTTTGGCCATAAATCATATCATCTTTTTTCTATAAAGACAAATAAAGCTCAGTCTTATTATAGTTTTAATGCAATAAGATTAATTTGTTGGTTGGAAATATTTGTGAGTCTCAGAGGACAAAAATGCATCTGTTTCATCTTGTGGTGTAACATAATGTGTGTAATGTATGAATAAGGGAAGTAGATCTATGTACATTAAAATTCACGCTTTTATATATTACATGCATTGTATATTATATATGTTTATAATCAAGTGAGTTATTTATTTTAGTTATTTATTTGTTTTATTCATTTTAATTAGGTTGTAGTTCTTCTATGATGCTATCATAAGGTTAAAAAAGACACAAAAAGGCTAAAAACAGAATAATAGGCCTGAAAGCGTAGCTCGTCACTTTCAGAAATGAGAGATTAATCCTTCTTTGAGGTGACATGTTGGAAATGAACGGTAATTATCGCAGCTTCTCATGGTATAAAAAACACGCTATGCTGTTCAGTACGTGGTGAAGAGTGTAATCTAACAGCACATTTCAGGTACATAATGAGTGAGAAAATGATTGTGATGAAATTTATAAAGTCTTAAAAATATTTATTTAGGCAATTTTAAATTATGTACACCTGACTAGCCTAGTATAAAACATCTTGTTTCAGTTGTACAGTACTTATTTTAGTGCATTTAATTTTTTTATATTTATGTTGCAATGTTTGTATGTTTACATATTATGCATGATTTGTCTGTTTTAACATGGTAGTCATGTTGTAGGAAGCAACATGTTTACATACTATCTAGATCAGGGGTCTCCAACTCCGGTCCTGGAGAGCTACTATCCAGTAGGTTTTCTGTCCCACTTGGCTTCTGATGAGCCACACCTGCTCCTGGTATTTACCTGAGAACAGGTGTGGCTCATCAGAACCCAGGTAGGATAGAAAACCTGCTGGATGGTAGCTCTCCAGGACCGGAGTTGGAGACCCCTGATCTAGACATACATATTGCTAAAACATCTGGAGACTGAACAAGTCGTCTGATACAAAACCGAATGACATATAGCAATTTTGATGCAATGCATGGCCTCAAGATATAATGACAACTGATAGCTGCCATTGAAAGTTGAAGAACTTGATGTATTTTAGACTTATCACCACTAAAGGGAAATTTATACTTTTGTATAGAATCTATGCCATAGGAAGCCGTGTACCCTACGGCATAGGAAGCCGTGTACCCTACGGCATAGGAAGCCGTGTACCCTACGGCATAGGAAGCCGTGTACCCTACGGCATAGGAAGCTGTGTACCACATTCCATACCTAACTGCATACACTATGCTATAGCTAACTGTGTACTCCACACTGTAGCCTGATGTCTGTAGTAACATTTCTGGAATGTGCAAGTCAGGCTACGGTGTAGCCTATGGCATAAGGTACATGACTACCTACAGCGTAGATTCTACACAGAAGTATAAATCAGCCTTAACTGGGTGCTCACCTGATGTTAGCAACATGTTAGCGAGGCGTCGCAGTATCAGGGATCCATTCACTACCAAACCTGGAAGCATTCAGATAACATCGTCTTCCATACTCACCGGAGCTGAGGTGCTATAGAGGTTGTGTTTTTTTCTTGCTCGTTCTCTGTAGACTTGGACTTTCGTGAGACGCCTCAGATGCTGTGCCCCAGTTACCAGGCAGAGCTTCATTCGGGTCCCCCGCGCGGCTACCCTATGGCCGTGGGCTCCGACATCGACACGGAGGCGGAGGGCGGCCCCTCCCCCAGCCACGCCCTGCACCTCTGGATGCGGGAGATCAAGTCGGAGCACAGCTCTTGCCTCTCCAGCCGGGCCAACTCCGTGCTGTCCCTCACCGACACGGAGCAGGAGAGGAAGTCCGACGGGGAGAACGGTAAGATCCCTTGTCACATGACCAAGCCTTCAGATTAAGAGCGTGCCACAATGTTCTTGCTGCTTTACCTGTTTTTGCTCCAGTTTTTATGACTGAGTTGTGTCTGGGGTTTTGAAAGATGAAGTCACAAGAGAAACAGAAGCTTTTCAGGTGAAACTCAGCAGAAATAAAACTGCTTGAAGTCAGGTGTTTGTGTCTGGTCTGGATGAGAGGGATCCTAAAGAGGGTTAGGGTTAGGGTTAGGGTTAGCAGTATGCTTTGAAGGGCAGGAGAACATGCTTATACAGTATGAGAAAAGGGGACTCGTTGTTTCTTTGGACATGTCACATATGCTGTCGAATTATTATTTTGTTATAGGAAAATATATCCATTTGCTAAAATCTCACCGGTTCCTCAACCGCATCATTAACCGAAGGAAATCTGCTAATCTCTTTAGCCAAACAATCTGTGTGTTGGTCGTTAATAGCTTCCTGTTATGCTTCTGAGAACCTAACATAAGTGGAGGGAAAAAAATCCGATGTTACTCTCTCTAACCGATCCGGGTAGCAGATGTTTTTCGTAATTAATCCGATGCAAACGGCCGCCGCGCAGGAAGACCATGCTTCTACAAATAAACGAACAATGACACTAATAATGGCCGCTCAACTTCCTTTTTAATGTTTCCATAGCAACAGTTGCATCGCAGTCATACTACCTAGGCAGCCATCAGTTTCAGAGGATTTACTATTGGTAACCCGGCTATAGAAGATATTATTATTATTATTATTATTATTTCATGAGTTACTTTAGGGATCTATTCATCATCAGCCAACACAACAAGCTGGTCAATCAATACTTTTTTCCACCAAACTGAGAAATTTAGCTAGGAATCGGGATCGTCGTTGTTGTTGCATCTTCAGGGTCTAGAATGACAGATCATGCCAGTAAGTTCTTTTTTGAAATAAAACATCTACCCAATATCAAAACAGACCCGACCGTCAATTAATGTCTGATCGAAAACTCTCTGATTCCCCTTCTAAGCAGGTTTTTTTCTGTCTCTCTCGACATTCCCTTTATGTGTTTGAAGAGTCTAAACTTTTGATCTTGCAGTAATGAAACCTCACCTGAGCAGTAATGCTTAAAGTGTGCACTCGTTTTGGTGGTGATGTGCATTTAATTACACGGGGCTATGCACAGCGCATACACTGTGTCATTAGTCATCCGCTGTTTGTCATAGCCTTCCTGACCTCACAATCCACCCACTGCCACCACTCTTAAGATATGGAGGCAGCAGGATCTTTGTGGAAAAAAAAACAACTTCTGCAAATTCCTGTCGAGCCTTTCTGTCCCCATCAAAAAAAACTGCCTTTGATAAAGGAAAAAAGAAAGAAAAAAAAAACTGGACTGAGCTCACTCTAATGATCCTGGAAATAATTATGGATTTGGTATTATGGAGACTGCCAGCCTGCCTTTATTGGGGGGCTCTCGTCAGCTGAATGGGCAAATCGGGTTCCTCCGAGGGCAGGAACCTGGCTTCTTTCAAGAGATCCAGGCAGACTGGAAATAAAACAAGTAATGAGCGCAAGCGAAGATGGGAGCCTCTTCTATTTGATCTTGCGAGGGAGGCGAGTCATTGGCTAGCCAAGGATATGCAGAGGGGGCATCGCATTTGTGGGCCCCGATCTGAAGCAGAGGCTCCGCCGGAAAGGGGGTGGGGGGGCTGTCTTCTAATGAGAGGGAGGATCGGTGCGCCAGTGCTACGCCTCTCTGAAAGTCAGACTTCACGGGGGGGGGGGGGAAGCCATGGGCAGATACCCGCATGAGTGAGAGGCACATGAACGTAGGCCGCGTAGGTAGGCTGGGAATACACAAGTGGGGGGGGGGGGGTTGGCGGGGCAACGGATGCGAAACAGAGAATCGGGTCGCGTCTGCACACGTCCCACGTCGGGGAAAGAAAATCAATTTGCTCTGCCAGTCAGTTATTTGATATCAAACGGCCGAGATATGAAGATCGTGATAGAAATGCGGCCCGTTCCGTACCTTTTCTGCGGACGGGAATGAAAGATCTGTATGCTGAAGAGGAGATTCCATCCGCAGGACGTGTCTTTCTGGGTCTCTGCATTCATAGAGATATTTCTGCCGTTTTTTTTTTTTTTGGTCGGTGGCTTTCTGCTCGCTCTTCCGTGCAGCCAAGGGGTTGCGGCTCCACGGATTATTTGTGTTTTCCCACGTCTGTTCCCTCCCATCTCTGGTCTTATCTCCTCTCTTCCCACATTCGGACAGCCGGGCCAGATCTAAAATGGACCACGCATGCATTATTGATACCGTATTCTTTTTCATCAGTGCAAGGCTTTTGACCCCCCTCTGTGTGCCAGTTTATCGCGAAAGATATAGCCCCCCTCGAAAAAAAAAGTCACCAAAAACCCAAACACAAACACCGTGGTCGAAATTTAATTACACATTTAAATACCAGGTTCCCCAAATATGTTTTTCTTGGCCTTCAAAGTCTTTCCATGAAAACCCATTAACGCTATCAGGAGCTCAAGCCAAAGGGACGCCTTTGTTCATGGTCTAAGCAAGACTGACAAGTCAATTTAATATTTCTTTTTGGTTAAAAAAAAAGTGCCTTGAAACTATCAGGGCGGGGGGACTGATTTTGAGGCTCTGTGATCTAGGACTACACAACGGGCTGGCGAATGCAAGCACGGTGGTAACATGGCGCCAAAGCATCCTTTGCTGTGGATTCGATCTCCAGCTTAAACCGGATGTATGGGCAGAGCAAGGTTAAAATGGACCTTCAGTATCCAGCCTGCATTCACTGCAGACTGTCTGTCAGGCAGAGTCTCCCAGCTGCCCGTAGTTTTACGATTATAAGAGCAGAAATTTAGACGTGATGGGGAGACCACCATGAATCAAAGACTACTGAAAATATTTACTATTAATTTACCAATCGGCATACTAGACAGACAACAAGTGACATGGGGAGGGTTTACACAGGACGTAAAGTGTAAAATACAGGACAGAGCGAAACAGGGGGGCTAGACAAAAGATTGTATATTCATAGTACAGCTGATCTTGATAGCAGTTTGTCACCCATTTCTTGAAAATGACCATTGTCAAAATCATTTCAAAATGTCAGCATCAGTTAAAAACTATAATTTTTTCAGATGACTTATGTGAAAGTCAGAAACAAATTTTACAGGCAAAAGTGTTCGATTTTGGTTGTTTTTATTGCATCTGTTTTTTTTATGTAATCTTCAGCTCAGCCACCTTTATGCAGATAAATATCTTTTCAGGAAATTGCCTTCAGTTTGAAAAGACAATGAAATAGAGTCAATGCAATTAAATTATAAACACAGTTTTCTGTATTTTAATTGACTTGTGTTCCAGTTTTGAGCATACCTGTTTCGGGTTGTTTTTGGGTGAAAAAAATGGAAATGGCTATTTTCCATTACTGTCCTGAACGAGAATTAAAATGTAGATTGAAAGATTGATGTTATCATGAAGATGTCCTCCTTACAAAATTTCAATGACGGTCTTATCAGCTGGGAAGAGAAAATTAGCATAATAGGCTGCCGTTTGTATCCCCCCCCCCCTCGATAGTGAATTTAATCATCTCTTTCCTCCCTGCTGAAAATTCATTCTTATAAACCACACAGCATACATTAAATGCCACACAATGCATATTTATGTGGTGTTTAATTAGCAATAAATCAGATTTTATTAATATAAATGATGGGGTTTCCTATAGATGATTTTCAAGAGTTTATTGTAAAAAGGCAGTAAATAAACAATTAATATGACCATAGTTACCTGTTAGCAACAGTGAAGTAATACATTTATGGTGAGATTGTGTAGTGCTGTTGAGAACCTTGTAAGTAGTAAGTAAGTAGAAGTAAGTGAGATGGTTGCTTTATGTCGCTGGTCCTGGCAGCTCTTACTAAGACTCCTTTGTTTCATATTGTGTTCAGATCCTAAGGCAGCTTGAAGCCAATTATTTGTCAGAACAGCAAAACCAAAGTTAAATAAGTGCAATTGAACAATACCTTTCCAATAATTCTTCAGTTTTTCCATCCATTCATTTCCACTTACCCAGAACAGTATCTTGACGAGCATGGAGCTTATGCCATTAAGTACAGTACAGGGCATGACGCAGGGCACGCCGCGGATGGCAGTGCAGGGCATGACGAATGGCACGGCGCGGATGGCAGTGCAGGGCATGACGCAGGGCACGCCGCGGATGGCAGTGCAGGCCGTCACAGTGCATACACTCTCTCACACTGTGGGCAATTTAGAGACACTGATTCACCAAAGTGCATGTTTTTAGACAGAACAAACCGAAGTGACCTACGCCAACACTAGGAGATCATGTGGACCACCACCTGCAGATGTAGACCACCACCTGCAGATGTAGACCACCACCTGCAGATGTGGACCACCACCTGCAGTACCCCCTTCAGTTCATCCATCCATTGTCTGTAACCGCTTAGCCTATTTAGTCATGGGGGGTCCGGAGCCAATCCCAGAGGCTACAGCCGCCAGCCGAGGAACAGCCTAGGATGGGGCGCCAGCCCATTGCACGGCTCATTTTAACCCCTGTTTAGTACTTCCGGTTCAAAATGATGATTTTACTTGTGAAAGAATCTTTGTTGTTGCCAAACTACTTAAATGCAACTGAATGACTTGAGGAGCTTTAAAAACTCCTACCTCCCAATGCCCTCCTGGGATCTGGGGATCTGTTTTGGTTTCAGCAAAGGGGACACCTGCCCCACAAGAATGAGGCATTTAATGCGATTAATTAGTGTTTATTAGCAGAAACAGTGCTGTCTGAGATCCAGTGAGTCACTGTGCGAGTCAATACACAGTTCTCAAACTTACATATTGCAAAAAATAATAATAAATCATAAAAAATGTACCATACATTTAAGGAAGCTTTGGTATGATTGCATGACAGTAGCATATTATCTATCCAGAAATGCTTTATAGGGGTTGTGAGGTAACTTAGATTGAGTAGAGGTATT